CAGCCATCCCACTCCTTGGAATTTACCCAAAGGAAATGAAATTGGCAAACAAAAAAGCGGTCTGCACCCTAATGTTTATTGCAGCACAATTCACAATAGCCAAGACCTGGAACCAACCTAAATGCCCATCAACGGTAGACTGGATAAAGAAATTATGGGATATGTATTCTTTAGAGTACTATACCGCAGTAAGAAACAATGAAATCCAGTCATTTGCAACAAAATGGAGGAATCTGGAACACATCATGCTGAGTGAAGTAAGCCAGTCCCAAAGGGACAAATACCATATGTTCTCCCTGATCGGTGACAACTGACTGAACACCAAAAAGGAAACCTCCTGAAGTGAAATGGACACTATGAGAAACGGTGACTTGATCAGCATAGCCCTGACTGTTAATGAACAACTTAATACATTATCCCTCTTAGTAGTTTTTTTGTCTGTTCTACTTAATATGACTGGTTTAATTCTGTAATTAATACACAGTTATTCTTAAGTGTTGAAAATTAACTGAAATGTGATCCCTGTTCAACATAAGAGTGGGAATAAGAGAGGGAAGAGATGTATAATTTGGGACATGCTCAAGCTGACTTGCCCCAAATGGTAGAGTTAGAAACATACCAGGGGATTCCAATTCAATCCCATCAAGGTGGCATGTACCAATGCCATCTCACTATTCCAAGTGATCAATTTCAGTTCACAATTGATCATAATGAAAGGACTAAGAGTCAAATGGAGCACATAAACAAGTCTAGTACCTGCTAACACTAACCGATAGAATAAATAAAGGGGAGAGTGATCCAACACGGGAAGTGAGATACTCAGCAGACTCATAGAATGGCAGATGTCCTAAATAGCACTCTGGCCTCAGAATCAGCCCTAAAGGCATTCGGATCTGGCTGAAAAGCCCATGAGAGTATTTCAGGCATGGAAAGCCAAGACACTCTAAATGAAAGATCTCTGTGAGTGAGATCCCAGTGGAAAGAACAGGTCTTCAAAGAAGGAGGTACCTTTCTCTGAAGGGAGGAGAGAACCTCCACTTTGACTATGACCTTGTCTAAACAAGATAAGAGTCGGAGAACTCAGACGGCTTCCATAGCCTTGGAAACTCATGACTGGAGCATAGGGAGATTACTGATGCCATAGACAGGAGTGTCAATTGGTAAAGTCAACAACAGGAGTCACTGTGCACTTACTCCTCATGTAGGATCTCTGTCCTTAATGTGCTGTGCATTGAGATTTAATGCTATAACGAGTACTCAAACAGTATATTTCACTTTGTGTTTCTATGGGGGTGCAAACTGTTGAAATCTTTACTTAATGTATACTAAACTGATCTTCTGTAAAAAAAAAAAAAAAAAATGATCAATTCCCAACTTGACTCTCACTGGGATTAAACATGACAATAGGTCTGATCTGATTTCATCATCATTTAAAAAAAAATCATCTATTATTTTTCACTTTATGTTTCTGTGTGGGAGCAAACTGTTGAAATCCTTACTTAATGTATACTAAGCTGATCTTCTGTATATTAAGACAATCGAAAATGAATCTTGATGTGAATGGAAGGGGAGAGGGAATGGGAAAGGGGAGGGTTGCAGGTGGGAGGGACGGTATGGTGGGGAAGCCATTGTAATCCATAAGTCGTACTTTGGAAATTTATATTCATTAAATAAAAGTTAAAAAAAAAAGAATAAAAAAAAAAAAGAAGCCAATCTGAAATGGCTACATACTGCATGATTCCAACTATGTGACACTATGGAAAAGGCAAAACTACAGAGACAATAAAAAAGATCACTGGCTGCAAGGAGCTAAGGCATAGGAAAGGATAAAGAGGTAGACACCAGAGAATGTTTAGGAAAGTGAAATTAATCTCCATGATACTACAATGACAAATACAATTCATCACATATTTGTTCAAACCTACAGAATATAAAATACCAAGACAGAACCCTAATGTAAACTCAGGCTCTGGGTGGTTATGATTTGTCAACAAAGATCCATCTATCATAATAAATGTACTGTCCTGGTGGGGTATATTAGTAATGGGGAAGATTACGCATATGTAGGGGTAGAGCTACCTGGGAAATCTCAGCACCTTCCTGTCAATTTTCTATGAATTGAAAGCTGCTCTTAAAACAAAAAGCCTTTGAGGTTTCCAAAGAAGCAAAAACTGCTACTTTTTGAAAAGATTATAAAAAGGGTTTCGTGAAGGAGGCAAAGACAAACAATGCAAAGTAGATTGGTAACTGATACAAATTTTTTAAAATGTACATGTAAACATTTCAAAAAGACAGATACATTATATGTAAGACAGTGTTGAAGATAGGCCTGGAAAATGGGGCTATCCTATGGCAAGGCTAAACCACAGAAATATCTAGTTTTTAATACAGTTAACGATAAAAAATTATTAAAGTATCAGAGTATAAAATTATCACAACAACAAGACAGTTGAGAAAAATTTGGCAACAATATAAGATTAGACTGCATAGCACACCTAGTTTTAGCTATCCTTCCCTAGACCCTTTTTATTCTTGTTTGTAATTTCTCATTCTTTTTTTTTTTTTTTTTTTTTTTGACAGGCAGAGTGGACAGTGAGAGAGAGAAACAGAGAGAAAGGTCTTCCTTTTGCCATTGGTGCGCTGCGGCCGGCGCATCGCGCTGATCCAAAGCCAGGAGCCAGGTGCATTTTCCTGGTCTCCCATGCGGGTGCAGGGCCCAAGGACTTGGGCCATCCTCCACTGCACTCCCGGGCATAATTTTTCTTTCTTGATCCCTTATTCTGTGCAACAAATGTGAATTATCTACATTTTTAAATACTAGACATCACAACTTAACAGAAACAGAAACTGCCATAAACACATTCTTTATACTATAATCTGACTTAGTAACGATGTTAGCCTGAAGAAAATTCTACGGATATTGACTTTGCACATTGTCATCTTCTTTCATACTGACAGAAAATATAGTAATCATTGAGAATAATCCTTTAAAATCCGTTATAAACTTCATTATAAATCCTAAACCTAATTCTCCAAACCAACTGTTGACATTGTCCTTCAGCATCAAAGAGCTATCATGTAAATTTAAGTCCTTTCATAGCTTTAAATCCTGTTACCACTTACTAGCTGTACATCTGGACAAGTTATTTACCTCTCTGTGTCTCAGTCTCCTGACCTATAAAACTGTGATAATGACATGAACAACCTCAAGGGCTATTGTGAGAACTGAGTGAGTTAATTTACCTAACTCTCAATACTGCAATTCAGCCAAGTTGGCTCTTCAATTTATTCTATTTAAATGTATGTTCATGAGGATTTCATGTGATATCATGGATTTAAATAACATACATATGCTATTAACTGCCAAATTTCTCTCTCCAGTCCAGGCTTCTCCCAACTATTTCAAACCGCCTACATGACATCTCTGTTTATTCCACATCTAAAAGGAATCCAAACTTAAAATACGCAAAATAGATTTCTAATATTTGCCATTAAACCTACTCTTATTCTTACTACCACAACTCAAATAATGGCTACTCTATTCATTCAGCTGCTTTTTGCCTCCTCTCTTTAAGCCTATTACCCATTCATTTTCCCATCCAAACCATCATAAAAATCCTGTCAAAATACATACAGAAAATATTTATACATATACAAAATGCAATCACTTCTAACCATCTCCTTAGCTACTATCTTGGTCAAAGTCACTATCATTTGTCTGTATTACTGCAAAGCCTACCTAGACTCCAGTTTCTGCCCTTTTTATCTTTCAATCTGTTCTTAACACACACGCCAAGATGGTCCTATCAAAATATATCTTCTGAGGCCGCACTGTGGCGCAGTGAGTTAACACCCTGGCCTGAAGTGCTGGCATCCCATTTGGGCACTAGTTAGAGACCCGGCTCCTCCACTTCCGATCCAGCTCTCTGCTGTAGCCTGGGAAAGCAGTGGAAGATGGGCCAAGTCTTTGGACCCCTGCACCCATATGGGAGACCCGGAAGAAGCTCCTGGCTCCTGGCTTCGGATCAGCACAGCTCTGGCCATTGCGGACAATTGGGGAGTGAACCAGCGGATGGTAGTCCTCTCTCTCTTTCTCTCTGTGCCTCTCCTTCTCTGAGTAACTCTGACTTTCAAATAAATAAATAAATAAATCTTTAAAAAATATATATCTTCTGCTCAAAACTCACTAATAGCTTCTCTCATCAGTCAGAATAAAACCCACTTCCTGACTATGATTGTTCAAGTTTAACATGACCTGGTCTCTCACAATCTCTCTAACCTGGATCTCCTACTTCCTGTTCTCTTATTCATTCCCCTCCAGCAACACTGGTTCCCTTGCTGTTCTTCCTATACCTTATACTTGTTCCCATCTTTGTGCCTTTAAATTCTCTGTCCCTATGCCTAGAATGCTTTACAAAGGGAGTCACTCCTTCATTTACTTCAAGTCTGCATCAGTGTCACTTTTTCAATGAGATTCAGAATGAGTACTCCCATCCCCATGTCACTGAAAATCTTCAGCACCCTGCCATAGGATATAAAATGTTCTAAAATACTTTAAAATTAATTTATTCTTTGTAGTATTTACCAACTGTATCCCTACTCAAACAAAAGTTCTATGCAGGCAGGTGTTTCTGGTTTTTCTCATCAACAGATGAATGAATCATAGAACAAAATAATTCATTTAAAATGAAACGAATATCTAAATCAAGTCTCTCATTGTGTAGGAAAGAATTCAAAGGTCAGTGTGACCCACATAAAGTCAGTCAGAAGGCAGCAGGCCCTGAATAAAAGTAGGTCTCCTTGGCCCCAAACATAGGCTTTCTTCCAACAGGGAATGATGGTGGAATGTAAGAGAACAAACATGAAAATAAATTTTAAAAACAAGTAAACAAGTAAGTATACATATACATAAACACACAGACACATCTCAGAATACTATCATTGAAAGGAAAAACATTATACAAGGTGATTGTGTCAATAAACAAATGTTTATTACTTACCTCTACCCCAGATTTTTTTGATGATATCTGTGTTACAGTTTCTTTGAATTTATTTGCCTTCTCAAGTTGGGCTTTAAGTTTTTCAGCTAATTCCTTCAGAAAGAAAAACAGGTAAAACAGCAAGAAACAGAGGTTAATTCTACATTACAGAATATTTCAAATTTATAAAACAGAAAGGAAAACAGCATGACAATGATCCATGTAGTCATCACCTAACCTCAATCATAAACTCAAAGCCTAGTAAATCAATTATTAATCAACTTAGTTACAGGCTTCTCAAATGTATGTAGCACATGTTTATGCTTTGAAGATAAATAATAGAAGCCAGTATTGTGACACTGAGTTAAGTCTCCACTTGTGTCACAACATTCCATATCAGAGTGCTGGTTCAAGCATTAACTGCTCTGCTTCTGATCCAGCTTCCTGCTAATGTGCCTGAGAAGGCAGCAGATGATGACTTAAGTATTTGGCCCTTGCCACCCAGGTGGGAGATCCAGATGGAGTTCCTGGCTCATCCTCAGCTGTTGCAGAAATCTGAGGAATGTACCAGCAAATGGAAGATGGGTCTCAGTCTCTCTCTCTCTCTCTCTCTCTCTCTCTTCTCCCTGTCTCTTTGCCTTTCAAGTACATAAATTAATAAATGTTTGAATGTAGATAATTTCAAAGACATATGAGTGTATTGGGGGGAAAAAGGGAGATAGAAGAAGTGCATACTTTAAGAATGTCATTTTTAGGGGCTGGCACTGTGGGCTAGAGAGTAAAGTCACTGCCTGCAGTGCTGGCATCTCAAATGGGTGCCAGTTCAAGTGCTGGCTACTCCACTTCTGGTCCAGCTCTCTGCTATGGCCTGGGAAAACTGTAGAGGATAGCCCAAGTGCTTGGGCCCCTGCACCCATGCGGGAGACCTGGAAGAAGTTCCTGGCTCCTGGCTTCAGATAAGCCCAGCTCCGGCCATTGCGGCCATTTGGGGAGTGAACCAGTGGATGGAAGACCTCTTTCTCTCTCTCTCTCTCTCTCTCTCTCTCTCTGCCTCTGCCTTTCTCTAGTTATGCCTTTCAAGTAAATAAATAAATCCTTAAAAAAACAAGAATGTCAGGATGGCACTGTGGTGCAGCTGGTTAATGCCCTGGCCTGAAGCACCAGCATCCCATATGGGTGCCGGTCCGAGATCTGGCTGCTCCACTTCCAATCCAGCTCTCTGCTATGGCCCAGGAAAGCAGTGGAAGACAGCCCAAGTGCTTGGGCCCCTGCACCCATGAGGGAGACCTGGAAGAAGCTGCTGGCTCCTGGCTTTGGATCAGCACATCTCCGGCCATTGCAGCCACATAGGGAGTGAACCAAATGGGGAGTGAACCAGTGGATAGAAGACCTCTCTCTCTCTCTGCCTCTCCTCTCTCTGTGTAGCTCTGACTTTCAAATAAGTAAATAAATCTTTAAAAAAAAAAAAAAAAAAAGATATTCCTTTTATTAGACAAACATGCTCTTAGGCCGGCGCCACAGCTCAATAGGCTAATCCTCCGCCTGCGGCACCAGCACACCGGGTTCTAGTCCCGGTCGGGGCACCGGATTCTGTCCCGGTTGCTCCTCTTCCAGTCCAGCTCTCTGCTGTGGCCCGGGAGGGCAGTGGAGGATGGCCCAAGTGCTTGGGCCCTGCACCCGCATGGGATACCAGGAAAAGCACCTGGCTCCTGGCTTAGGATCAGCGCAGTGTGCTGGCCGCAGCAGCCACTGGGGGGTAAACCAACGGGAAAGGAAGACTTTTCTCTCTGTCTCTCTCTCACTGTCCACTCTGCCTGTCAAAAAAAAAAAAAGACAAACATGCCCATAAAAACAGAAACACTGTGTTTGGCTACATTTTGTCCTATTAGAATATTGTATGAACATGAGGACACTTCAAAAATTCTGTGAAAAACAGGATTAAAAGTTATGGTTCTTTTTTGCATCAATAAAATTTTGAAATTCATTCTTATGCTAGGTCTTCAACAGTTCACGAAAAATTCATATTATGAAAAGCCTAGGCCAGCGCTGTGGCTCACTTGGCTAATCAATCCTCCGCCTGCAGCGCCAGCACCCCGGGTTCTAGTCCCGGTTGTTGCGACGGATTCTGTCCCGGTTACTCCCCTTCCAGTCCAGCTCTCTGCTGTGGCCTGGGAGTGCAGTGGAGGATGGCCCAGGTCCTCGGGCCCTGCACCCCCATGGGAGACCAAGAGGAAGTACCTGGCTCCTGGCTTCGGATGGGCATGGCGCTCCGGCTGCATTGCGCCAGCCGTAGCGGCCATTTGGGGGGTGAACCAATGGAAAAAGAAGACCTTTTTTTCTGTCTCTCTCTCTCTCTCTCTAACTCTGCCTGTAAAAAAAAAAAAAAAGCCTAGGCATGGATATATCAAATATTTATACCAAATAAATTTATCATTAATCTTATTTTTCCATGAACTCCAAGGCACCCTTGCAATATACCAAAACTGAAGACTACTTAATGATCACTAAAATTTCAATTTGAGATGAATATACACATATGACCACAAATGAATTTTCTGTGTCAAGGCATGGAAAGCTATCAGGCTTTACTATTCTACCAAGTTTAACAGACCATAAATTAACATACTAGGAATATAACAATATAGTGAATAAAAGTAGCTTCTTCCAAATCATGAATCTGTCTATTCAATTCTGAGGGAAATCAGCATTAATATAGAAATTAAATGAACTAACTAAACAAATCATCTGACACAGTACCTGCTTTATCTAAGGTAACATGATACCCTAAAATTTTTTAAAGAGCTCATTTTTAGGTTCCAAAGTAATTTAATAATAAACATTCTTAATAACATATGACTAAAAATGGGAAAGAAGACAATAGCATTTGTATCTACTTCAAATAACATTCAATAGGTCAGAAGAGCAATAATAAAGCAAATAGCAAAGCAAAAAAGTACAAACAGAATTCACATAGTTCCTTAGCATCTTGAATTTCAGAAACCCAACAGAGAAAGTTTATAATGTATTTAGAAAACAGATTATTGTTTCTATAAACAAGTGAGAATAATAAGGAATAATAATAAGCAATAGTTATTTTCAATACGTTGTACATCACATTACTGAGGAACTTTCAAAATTACTTATAAGATTTAATTACTACTTTCAAGAAGAACATATAAAAGTCATACCATATTCCCCATCATCTCTGCCTTGATAATCTTTGCTCCCAGCTTGTTCTTCTCATCAACACTCAGGATGTGGATGGACTCATCCTCTGGACCACTGCTGGAACAACACACATTGAGAGCATATGAAGTACAAGTACAACACCAGTAACAACATCAAGACCCAAATGCTATTTTAACTACCCTATTCAGCACTGATAGAAGATTTTGGTCTTAAAACATAAAATTTAGTTCAATATTCTACCACAAATCACTACTTTAAGAATCTCTGCTAAAACAAGAGCACTTGGCAGTTATAATAATGACTGATCAAAGTCCCAAAGCAATGAAATAAAGAATTTAAAAATCAACTATTCATTATTTATTTAATATTTCCATATTTATTCTAAAAAGGAAATAAACAAAACTAGAATTAAGCCAGATTTCTACATATCCTGAGAAATTTCTAATGCAAATATTGCAAGTTATTAATTATCTAAGCAAAGTATAATCAAGAAATCCCACAACTTAATTGACTTCAAAGAATGAAAGCAATGATCATATATTCTTTTGCAAAGTCAGTTCAGAATTAGTCAGGCAAAATAAACTAATTTAAAATTTAGATTATGTCCCACACCTATACTACAGAAGTATCACATGGAAAAAAAAATTTCAGACCAGGTCAGATTCACTAAGCTTCCCATCTTAGAAACAGTCAAAGTTACAGTACTGGGAAGGTAAACCCAGGCAGAGCCTGAAAGACTCTCCAGTGAAGCAGACATAGCTAAGACTCCATTAATTCCAAGGCAGCTACATTTTATAGAACAGAGTATCAGAGAAGAGACAGACATACAGTGAGTAACCCCCAAAGAACTGCAGAGGGATTCACATAGTAAACCTCATAATTCAGAAACCACTGGGTGGAGTAGCAAAGGTATTGCTTCATCAGTAGGCAGTAATAAGCTCTAGGCTGGGCTCTAGGTCTACTTAACAAAGGTTTTTAAAAACAAGAGTCAATCTGTCCTCAGTTTTAGATCCTGTGATTATAGATCCTATGAGTTTAAACTGCTTGCTAAATTGGTTTTCTCCAGACTTAAAAAAGTAAAATTCTAGGTGGTCATGCACATGAAACCTCAGATGGAAGCAGTTTCTGCAAGCTGGCCCTGCATCCCCCTGGAGAAGCCTCCTCCTGCTGAGAAGCCACCTCCTGATGCAACCCTATCTTGACTCCCCTTCCCAAAGACACCCCTTTCAGCATGAAGCAGCCAGAGCTATCATCTGCCTACTGCCCACTAACCGATGTTAGGGCTTCCATCTCTCGGAGGAGGGAATGTGAGGAGTCACATGGGTTAACAGTCAGGGGATTCCAATGGAATTCAGTGTGTAAAATACTTGCTTCCTTCCCCAAAACTTTATCTTTAGCAAGAACAAACAGGCTGCCCTACTTCCATTGGAATCTCCAAATTTACCATGATATTAGCAAAGGAGCCTCTCCAGAGCCCACAGCTTACTATGAAAACAAGTTACTGGGGCCGGCACTGTGGCATAACAGGTAAAGCTGCAGTACCAGCATCCCATATGGGCACTGGTTCGAGACCCAGCTGCGCTACTTCCAATCCAGCTCTCTGCTATGGCCTGGGGAAACAGTAGAAGATGGCCCAAGTACTTGGGCTCCTACACCTGCGTAGGAGACCCAGAAGAAGCTCCTGGCTCCTGACTTTGGATCAGCGCAGCTCTGGCCATTGCAGCCAATTACGGAGTGAACTAGTGGATGGAACACCTCTTTCTCTCTCTCTCTGCCTTTCTCTCTCAGTGTAACTCTGACCTCTGACTTTCAAATAAATAAATAAATCTTAAAAAAAAAAAAGAAAGAAAGAAAAGAAAAGAAAGATAGAAAATAAAACAAGTTTTCTACCCCACCCTTAGCAGGCCAGACCGGGGGGAGGGGGGAGGGCCGTAAATGAGGTCTTTGATGTTTCTTTGTCCCCACCTGGTAACTGAATGCCAATCTAATTGTCAAGTGGTTTTTTTTTTGTTCTTTTTTTTCCTTTGAAATTGTACTTAAAGCTGACTGCCACCAGTCCCCTTTGAGTTTTCCTCTCTTGGAAACCACCCCCCCCGCCAATGCCACTCTGGCTGGAGGTCCTTAATTCTAATAAATACTTTTAAATATCAAAAAAAAAAAAAAAAAGGGAAACAAAAGTCAAAAGAATCAAATGGTTTCCAACCAGCCTAACTATGTCCCAAAACAGAATTCAAGAATACAGAAGTTCAAAAATATACAGCACTTAACAAGTAAAATCTGTAATATCTAATAACCACTCAAGTATCACCAGACATGTAAATAGGTAGAAAAATGTAACACATAATTAGAACAAAATTCTGCTATCCAAATCAACCTAGAACTGACACAGATATTTAAAAAAACTGTATAAGGATATTAAAAGCCATTGTAACCAGGGCAGTGCTGTGGCACAGTAGGTTAATCCTCCACCTGCGGCACCGGCATCCCATATGGGTTCTAGTCCCGGCTGCTCCACTTCTGATCCAGCCCTCAGCTATGGCCTGGGAAAGCAGTAGAGGATGGCCCAAGTGCTTGGCCCCTGCACCCACATGGGAGACCCGGAGGAAGCTCCTGGCTCCTGGCTTCAGATGGGCGCAGCTCCAGCCATTGCGGCCATCTTGGGAGTTAATCAACGAAAGGAAGACCTTTCTCTCTGTCTCTACCTCTCACTATCTGTAACTCTACCTCTCAAATAAATAAAAAACCTTAAAAAAAAGTCATTATAACCATGTTCCATGTGTTCAAACTGTTACAGACAATGAAGAGACAAAAACAAGATTCAAACTGAATTTCTACAGATGAAAGCTAAAAAGTCTGAGATAAAAAATATACTATATAAGATTAATGGAAGATTAAAATTCAGAAGAAAAAAATAGTGAATCTGAAGCAATAAAAACCATGCAAAATAAAACAGGCAAAAAAAAGTTTTTAAAAATGAAAGGAATATCAGAAAACCATGAGACAAAATTGCTCTACCAACATACAACTTGAGGCCCCCAAAAAGGAATAGGAGCTAGAAGAAGCAGCCAAAATTTTTCATATTTGTAGAAATTACAGAAGCTCAAGAAATCTGAAGTACAAAGCAAAAAAAAAAAAAAAAGAAAAATTGACACCAAAGCACATCTTAATCAAATTGCTCAAAACAGATGGTAAAAAAGGACATTTTAAAGCACATATAGTAAATAAAACACATTATTTAGATACATAAAGTTCACTACGACAGTAGCCTTCTCATCAGAAATAACACAAGAAAGAAGAGAAAGAAACAACATCTTTAAAGTAATTTATTTATCAACCTAGAATTCTATTACCAGTAAAAACAAAAGCTAAATAAAGACATTCAAACACAGAAAGCTGAATGAATGTTACAAAAAGCCTTTGGGAAGAAAAAATAAAGATATATTGAAAGATGGATCAACCCAAAGTAAAGAAGATGACTAGAAATGACAATAATGGTAATTATATAACACCTTTTTCTTACTACTTAAATCTCTTTCAGATAACTATTTTTAATGATAAGAATACATTTGGGGCTTAGAACAAGTAAAAGTAAAATGTACAACAATATTAACATAAAGAACAGAAAGAAGGGGAGAAGTGTAAATAAACTATAGTAAAGTTCTTACACCATATAGAAATAGGAGGATAATTTTGCATGCTGTCAAAGTTAAACCAACCACTAAATTTTTTTTTTTAATTACAGTGGCAGGCATTTGGCTTCACTGATAAGGCATCTCATATCACAGTGCTTGAGTTTGACCTCCAGCTCCAGTTCTGGCTCCCAATTCCAACTTCCTGCTAATACGGACCCAGGAGGCAGAAATAAGATGGCTGAAGAAGCTGGGTTCCTGCCACTCACAGGGAAGGCCTGGATTCAGTTGGGAGCATCTGGGGAGTGAATCAGCAGAAGGGAGCATTCAACCTCTTTCTCTCTCTGCCTCTCAAATAAGTAAAAAATGTTTACAATAATTATAGCAACAAAGGAAAATGAAATCATACTCAAAAAACCCTGAAATTTAAAAAAGCATGAAAAAGAAGAAAAACAGAAAAGAGGACATATAGGAAAAACAGGAAAAAAAATGGCAAAATTACACATTTGAATCTAATTATATCGATAATGATATTATATATAAATGGTCCTTCAGTTGCAATTTCAACAGCATTCACCAACACTTGATTGAGTGACACACAACAGCAAGAATATGAAAGATTTCAACAGCATTATCAACTAATATGACTTAATGGACAGTCATAGAACACTCTACTCATCATCAGCAGAAAACAAATTCTTTCCAAGTGCATACAAAACATTTACCATGATAGACCACAGTCTGAGCCATAAAATCAGTCTTAGGGCCAGTGCCATGGCTCACTTGGCTAATCCTCCACCTGCGACACCAGCACCCCGGGTTCTACTCCCAGTTGGGGTGCCGGGTACCAGTCCCAGTTGCTCCTCTTCCAGTCCAGCTCTCTCCTGTGGCCCAGGAGGGCAGCAGAGAGGATGGCCCAAGTGCTTGGGTCCCTGCACCTGCATGGGAGACTGGGAGGAAGCCCCCAGCTCCTGGCTTCAGATCAGCGCAGCGCTGGCCACAGCAGCCATTAGGGGAGTGAACCAACGGAAGGAAGACCTTTCTCTCTGTCTCTCTCTCTCTCTCACTGTCTATAACTCTCTAACTCTGCCTGTCAAAAATAAAAATAAAAAAATCAATCTTAATAAATATGTAAGGATCAGGTCACACAAACTATATTCTCTGACCACAATCAAGTTTTTAGAAATCATTAACTTCACTGGAAAATCCTCAACTATTTGAAAACTGAACAGCGTACCTGTAAGTAACCCATGAACCAGGAAAGAAAACAAAAGAAAATTACAAGGTTTTTTAAATTAAACAATTTTAAATATAACATATAACATATCCAAACTTGTGCTATGCTGCTAAAGCTTTAAAGACAGAAATTTATAGCTCTAAATACTTTTATGACAAAAATAGGAAAATGCAAATCTCTCAAATTAATGTGCCCCCAGCTTGCAACTTAAGAGTAGAAAAACAAGAGCA